AGTTCGCGCACCCAATATCGACATATAACTCGTGGCTGATCGACATACTTATCGGAGCCGACTTATATTGGTCATACGTTGGTTCACAAGTAATTCAAGGCAAGACTGGTCCAACCGCGGTTTCATCAAAATTCGGTTACTTGTTATCCGGCCCGTCTGGTGTGAGCCGAGCCGTGGACACTAATGTTCGTCTTCTACATGTCATGACCACAGAGAATCATATTTCAGAGCCTCTTACGTGTTCTCCTATTCCTGATTTCAATCACAAAACAGAGGACATAATTCCTGACATTCACCCAAGAACGAAGCAAATATCCAAAATGTGTGGGATCTAGAGCTTATTGGAATAAAAGACAACCCGGAAGTCGATGAACTGTTAACTTTGGAAACCTATAGGGACTCTTATCTTTCGATCGACAAAGGGAAATACACTGCCAAATTACCTTGGAAAGAAGACCACCCACCATTACCAACAAACTATGTCGTGACGACGCGCCGCACACGGAGTATGATTCGTTGACTCACCCCGGCCGGAACTTATCTCAAAATACGATGACATTATTAACAGAAACAACGCGGTTTCATTTCTGAGGTCAATGACCCCGATCCAGATATCGGACACTATTTACCACACCGCGCCGTTAAAAAGGATTCTGCAACGACCCCTATTCGTATTGTTTACAACTGTTCTTGTCAAGCCTCTCCGGACAGCCCCAGTCTAAATAACTGTTTGCAGACTGGCCCTTCGTTGATAAACAATTTGCCGAGCATATTGCTAAGATTTCGAGCTAACAACATTGCTTTAACTAGCGATATCGAAAAGGCATTTCTGAACATTCGACTTGATACAGACGAGAGAAAATATACAAAATTCTTATGGCTCTCGGACACTAGTGACCCGAAAAGTGATTTCATTACCTACCAATTTGACGGGTCTTATTTGGAGCAGTATGTTCACCGTTCATATTAAACGCAGTGATTCAATCCCACTTAGCCGAAGCTGACCCAGATTCAACAGCCAGTCAACTCGCGACTAATATTTACGTAGACAACGTAATCGACGGTGTTCATGACAACGAGGAGGCCATACAATACTATGAAGAAGCTAATGATCTCATGAACACAGGTGGTTTCAAGTCATGGACATCGAACAGTCAACTCATCAAAGACCGCGCCGTCTCGGATAATTTAGCAGATACCGCCGCGAATGTGTCTATTCTCGTTATGCATTGGAATACAAACGCAGACACGCTAACGTATTTTAAACCTAATAACATTCCTACAATGACACAATTAATCACCAAGCGAGTCGTTGTCAGCTTTACTGCTTCTTTTTAACTCCGGTGTTAATAAAGGCTAAACTGTTTGTTCAAATGTTATGGAAACTGGAGTTATCATGGGACGAACCATTAAATGATGACCTTTGTGCTCTTTGGGGTCACATTTCCTAAGATATCGAAGACTCAAGATCACTTAATATCAAAAGAACATACTTTGATACTAAAGAACTGAAACCCGAGTGTGAATTGCATGCCTTTGCAGATTCCAGTTTATGTGCGTACGGTGCCGTCATTTACCTGAAACATATGGATCGTGTTTCGTTGGTTACATCGAAATCCAGAGTCGCACCATTACGTGACATTACATTACCACGCCTAGAATTGAGGGCTGCGCTCATTGCTACACGTTTGAGCCAATACGTATTAAAAGCACTTAATACAAAGTACAATATTACCCAATGTTATTTGTGGGGTGATAACCAGATCGTGTTACACTGGATTAATGGTAACAAACCTCTACCTGTTTTCGTCAAAAATCGAGTTGACGAAATTAATCGATTTGATTGTGTCAAGAAATATGTATCAACAGATGACAACCCAGCTGATTTGTTAACAAGGGGGATTTCTTATGAAGTCCTCAAGGCATCCAATCTATGGTGGAGTGGACCCTCTTGGTTACCCTATACTGACAAATGGCCTGTGTGTCCATTGGTTACGATAGTCAGTACCCACACTGAAAATTCCAATATTTGCAGTGATGAAGGAAATATTATTTCGGCTAAAGACGTCCTACATTCCACTGTTGAAACCGTAAAAAATGACCCGTTACTACCCATGGAGGGCTTAAGTAGTCATTTTACACCTGGATTATATTCAGCCAAAGACGTCCTGCATTCCGCTGTTGAAATCACCGAAAATGACCCGGTACTACCCACGGAGGGATTAAGTAGTCATTTTACCGCTGGATTATATTCGCCTTCCCAGAATATTGTTATGTGCGACAATAATACTGGTTCTGACCCAGTTTCGCACGATATTGGCGTACATAACATTGTGGATATAAACAACTATAACAAACTGGATAAATTACTACGAATAACGGCGTACGTACTTCGATTTGTAAACAAATTAAAGAGGTCATCAAACAATAACAACGTTCAACTGTCTCCCGAAGAAATCAATATGGCGGAGAAGAAATGGGTCACTGACCTACAACGCACTAATTATGGGGACGTCGTACATTCTCTCCGAATACGCGATCGTAAACATGCCCCCATTGTTCAACAGTTGAACTTGTTTCTGGATAACGAAGACACCCTGCATTGTGGTAGCCGCATACTGTAAAATGACTAATTTTCACTGGGTTTAAATTTCACTGATTTACCATTTCAGGCATATTCAGTGGGTTTTAAATTCACGGTTTCGTCATTTAGATAATGTGTTCTATGCTAAATTTTACATATTCACTGGGTTTTAATTTAGCGCATTTTCCAGTCAGCGAAATAAGCTAAATTAAAACCCAGTGAATAATTACCCCCTTTACAGTACACAACGCACCGTTAGACTTTGTTACGAAATTCCCTGCTTTACTGCCTCCACATCATAAGTTTACAAATCTTGTAATTATGAAAGCTCATGAACTACTCATGCACGAAGGGGTCCAGTCTACGTTACTGGATACCTAAAATACAGATAATTGTACGCAAAATTATTCACAAGTGCGTGACCTGTAACAAGGTCACTGGTAAACCTTACGCCAATCCGATACCAGCACCATTGCCGGAATATCGCGTCAATATTACACCGCCCTTTACTATAACAGGTGTCGATTTTACGGGACATTTATATACAAAATCGACAGAAGGAATACGTAGCAAAGCATACATATGCCTGTTTACTTGCGCTGTCACCCGAGCGATCCACCTCGAGTACCTCACCGCTCTTCGTGAACGCCATTCGGCCAAGGGATCGAAACACAACGTGATCAAGGTTGGTGACATTGTCATAATCCATAGCGACATTGACATTCGTCAAAAGTGGCGTCTTGGAGTTGTTACTAAATTAGTCTACGGAAATGATGGCCTTGTGCGATCGGCCCAACTCGATACAGCTCAGGGTGCTACTAATCGCCCAGTACATAAATTGTACCCCTTGGAAATTATTTCCGATGAAATTTCCGATGTGAACTCCGTTCCACACAAGGATCATAGTCAGAATAATGACGAAGTAGATGCAAACACAACACAACCCCCAATGACGAGAAAACGTCCGCTGAGAGACTCAGCCATGGCTGCGAGAATTTGTATTCAGGACCTTATATAAACAATATGAGACTATATAGTTTAAGCAGAACTCTTGCATTTCCAATATTATTGTTATGAGTTTTATTTGAGTTTCTAAATATAGAACATTGAACGATATAATGCGATAATTTACTGAGAAATGAAAGAACACATGGAGAACTTTTTGAATACATTTATTCAAAACATAATCGACCCTTTTATACCTTGTCAGTCGATTATTAAATAGGTCATATATTTGTTTTCCTGCCTGCTGCTGGGAGAATTTAGCGGAGTCAATCCATGATAAATTATCTCGAATCGTCCTCCCTTTATATCCGACTACGGATTCTGGTGGTGAAGTGAGCAGCCTATCACAAGTGTTTAACTTTGACCAATCACAGTTCGGCCTCGTTTTGCCGCTTATATTTGAAACTTAGTTACATAGTTTATGCCTAATGTGTTTCCTTTCACGTTCGCATAGAGGGTATAAATACCCATGATTGCTGTTATATTTCATGTTTTACCAGTTGCCTCAGTACTCTATGTCAGTTTACTTCGTATTGCAATAAACCTATACTGTGTTTTTGCTAACGTAAACTACGCTCGTGTGTCTCTCTGTCGTTTATAATTGCCTTTAGCGTGAGCAGTAGCATATCCACAAACTACTCTCCCACAATATTAACACATTGTTTGAAAAATTGGAATCTGAGCTCTGTCATGAATAAAGTCTGTGTACTGGAATAACAAATTAAACTGTTGATAAACCTTGAATCACAATGGCTCTTATCACTGACGTAATGTAAAATACTTTATTTTTCCATTTAAATTAATTTTCTCTATTTTCGCTGAAGGAATTATTCAGTGAAAATAAAATAAAATCCAATTTACATTCAACTCACCAAAAGTCGGTGAAAATAAATTCCATAAAAAACACCCCAAAAGTCTTTTCAGCGAAAAATTAATTCCAGCGAAAATAAAGTATTTTACAGTACTTCATTCATTGTGGCCCTGGTATGTTCTGTCAAGTATTCTTTGGTGAGACAAATTCCATGTAATATACATATACATAGGGTAGTACAGTAGGTACATTTGTTTTTATTAGTTCCTGGGTAGGCAGAAAAGTTATGTAGAATGATGAGAAAATTATATGAAGTTGGGAAAGTTGTCTAGGAATGCAGAAAAAATGTATGGAAAGGCATAAAAAAAAAGTTATTTTGTAAGCATGAAAGTTGTTTGAGAAGTTAGGAAAGTTGTGTTTGAAATATTGTTTGAGTTCTGCAAGAAAGTTTGTGAAGTCAGGAAAGTTGCTGAGAAAGAAGAAAATGTTGAAAAAGTAGAAAAGTTGTCTAGGGAATCTAGGGAATGAAAGTTGTCTAAGATGAGAGAAATGTTGGTTGAAAAGGCAGAAAAGTCGTGTAATTACTTGTTATGATTACAGGAAAGTATGGTGGCTTATGCAGCCAATGTATACACATCAGTTGTCAGCAGTTTGGTAAAAAATGGCAAAAGAAGATTTATAGCTGTAGAACAGGAATTCTTTCGACTATGGTGGGAAAATGTTGCTGATGTGAATCAAAAAGTTAGTATATGTACATTCATTTTCGTTTTTCTTGCTTAGACACAATAGTGAGTTAGTTAAAAGATTGTGGCACTTTTATTGGAAGATATTTTTTACACTGCGAGTTAATGCAACTCTGCACGTGTGAAACATTTGAAATATGTCCTACCTTCTGGTTTTTTGACCTCAAGTCACGCAATATGCCCAAATGCTATCAATTTGGGAATCAAGAATTGTGTGAGAAAATGACATATTAACCTTTGATGTGTTGTTACTTAGCAACAAGTGCATGAGTTGTTACAAAATGGTCAGTTAGAGTTTATTATTGGTGGTCAAGTAATGAATGATGAAGCCGTCACTGAATACTCTGCCAATATTCAACAACTTACTGGTAAGTGCTCTTATACATGTTTGTATTTGCATTTCAACTAGAAGACAAACTCACACCAGGGGGTCAGTTCTGAGGCTGATCATAATGTATGATAATATCTTATTTATTCTGGCAACCGCAACCGATTGAAAACTCTCAAAATCTGTACTCTGGGCAAGTTGTTGAGACTCTCGTGAACAGTGTAAGAATTAAGATTACCCCTACATGTGCAGCATATTTAAATTTGGTTGCTCAGGATTACTTAAAAGTTGAGTTTGTGCTGTTTCCTTATCTTGTTTTCATTGGTTCCCCGATCGGCGCTTCCCAGCAGCTTGCACAAAGCCCATATAAATACATGGTACAGTTCTGTGACGTATCTGCGCCCAGAAAATAAGTAATAATGATACCAATCACCATCATAGCATAGAAATTGTTTCACAAAGTTTGGGATTTGTAAGTTTCAAGTTTGAATCATATCTATGATTGACTACCATTAACTGGACAGTCCCCTAG